GTGCACATGCCCTATAGCAAAAAAAAAAAAAATCCTCTCCAAAAAAAGAAAAAAAAAATACCTAAGATGGTCCATTTCAAGAAATGTGTGTTTTTGACCACATTACAAAGGAGATAGGGAGACTGACTTCAAGATCTGGGCCAGCCTCTCAGTTTTTATTCAAACTCAACTCTCTATGCATAACTGGACCTTTTTTCCCCTCCTGGAAGGCCATTTCAAATCTTCCAAGCAGTACCACCATATCCCTGAGGTATGCTTGGCTTCCCATTCCTCCTTAATCGCTGATCAATTACGCATGAGTTTAAGTGAGCAACAAATGTTGGTTATTACTATGAATTCATCTCCCGTACATGATACTGCTCTTGGTTTGGGCTGTCTTCCCCTGTGTACATAGTCATATTACATTAGTTCAAATTAGCACTATAAATTATTCTTCTAATAAAGCCACCAAGCATCGAACACAGCAGTAAGCATAGTTCTTATTAACTTAGTAAACTACAGATGTGGTTAGAGTAGCAGGGATGATGATTCTACCTGAAGACTATAGACCTGGGACACAGCATGCTGGATACCAGAGACCCCAGCTCTGTCATATGCTTACCTGGGCAGCCTTAGGAAAATTCCTTTCTTTCTCCTGAGTCTCACTGTTGTCATCTGTAGGCAACATGACAACAGTGCCTACCTCATCGGGCTGTTTGGAGGATGCAATGGGTAAATATGCATAAAGATCTTAAAACAGTGCCTGGCAAGCAATAAGCATTTCATTAGTGTCTGGGAGATGGAGAATAACTAAGGTTTGAGCTGAAAATAGCCAACTCTAGGAAAAAAAATCATCTCGTGGCTAGGATCAAGGAGAAAGGCTTATTCTAAGCTATGTTTTAATCATCTTATTGACTGTGCAATCTGAAAAACACATCTATGTGGGTGTCAGAAGAGTCATGACACATTTTTACATTAAAAAAATAATACTACTAATACCTCAAGGGGACTGGTAAGTGGCTTAGTGGTTAAGGGCACTGGACTCCCACATGGCTGACCACGGTTCTAGTGCCAGGCCTAGCGGTTTGCTTTCTCAGTTTTGTGCTGTTTCTGTCCCTTTCTGTTCAAAATTAAAATAAAGTTAGATAAAAATAATTAAAAAAAAATACATCACGACTTTTCTGACAACTCACAAGAACTTAATATCCATTTCCACATTTAGTTCAGGCCAGGAGAGCTCATTCCCATACTTAAAGTGATATGTTATTGGTATCATTGACAATACCAATGGGAGGCCATGACAGTCCATCTTAATCTTTTCTGAAAAGTCCTGGGCCTTATAGTTTACCATTTTCATTTTTCTGTAAGCATTGGTCAGCTCAACTACAGAATTATCATTTTGCTTGCTTCTTTCTGAATTAAAATATTCTCTTCACGCGTTCCTGTCTAACTAGAAATCTGACCTAAGTTTTGTTAGTTTTGACTTGGGATAAGCCTACTTCTTTAACCATGAAGTTAATTAGCTAAGGTTTGAGCCTAGTTGTCAATTCTATAGAAAGTATTTAAAGTAGAGCCAAAATTTGGGGGTATCTTCCAGAATTTCTGTAAGAGCAGAAGTGGGAATTATGAACAGGACTGTAAGACAACCCTACCTCACTCTGGAGATACCCACGCGTTGCTCCTAACACTGAATAAATGTTTCACCCTGGTGCCAGCCCTCTCCCACCCAGCGACAGTCTAGCTACATCTGTATCCTGACAGCTGAAGGCAAATCTGATGCCTTAGAACTCGGGACCTGACCGTGGCCACATGCACTTTAGGATTCTGCTCCAATTCATGGGACAACTGGCTGTAGCTTTAATGTTTAGTTTACATGGGTCAAAATTAGCCTGGTTTTATACTTCCATAAAAAGCTGTTTAAATGTTCAATTCTGTGTACTTTTTTAAACATACATTATATTCTAATTTCACAATTTTAGTACAAATGTACACTCCACTATTTCTCTGAATTTGAGTCACATTTTTAGACTAACAACCAGATGTTTCAAAATAGCCCACTGTGAACATTTCCTCTCTTTGCATTTATAAATAGCACGCTGACCTCTTTTCCAACTGAATTTGAGGGCTGATTCCTATTGGTTTAGTAACTGTCAAAATCTCTTCATCTACTAAAAAGAGGGGATCTCAGCAAACGTCCCTAACTGACTGGCCCCCTTGTTTACATGTATTCACTTTTGATAAATATTTAGGGAACACGACTCTCGCCAGGATAATAGTGGGAAATATTTGCAGTTCAAGATAACAGTGTCTATTATCTCATTGGGGAGCAGTGCTAAGGGTACAAAGAAAGTGAAGATACAATGTCTTCTCTCCCAGGGTTTAAAATCTAAAGGGACAGATTAGAGATTAGGTTTGACTATAAGCAAAGGAAAAGGACAATGTATATGATCAGTTCTTAACTACTCAGTGCCAGTAACAAACAAACAAAAAATTCTGTAAGAGTCGGATGCATCCCAAACAGCACTTAACACACAATGATAAGACAAATCAGATTTCACGAAGTTGATTTTCACACTGTGTTGTATTTTGGATTACAAAGAGAAGTGGCACCGCCAACCTTCATAATTGCTCAGGGACTCTATAAAACTCAAATCGGCTCCATGAATTCAGTGACACACTGCAGCAATTCAGAGATTCGTGGATAGAGTCATCGGTGAAAGAGCTAGGGAGATGGTGTTAAGATGCGTAGGGGAAAAATGTAGCCAGTGGAGAAGGCCATGTCTGAAGTAGAAAGAATGCCTTGATGTGGGGAGAGGGAGAAGAGGGTTTCAGGTAACAGCAAAGAGGCAGACAAGCTGAGATGGATGGAGGACTCCACTAGTAATGGCACATGAAGCCAGAATGGGAGGCTGGAGTGGGTTGTGGAGGGCCTGAAACAGTAAGCCAAGAATTCTACACTCTTCAAGATGCCATGAAAGAATTAAGGAGACCTTCTCACCAGCAGCACCCAAGAGCCCAAGTCACCTGATAATCATCATGAAGGTACTCTACTACTCTTCCCAGATAGGCCAACCATTCTCTCCTCTTCCTAAAGCCATAACCAACAGTCTTCCTAAGTGTCTTGTTTGAGTGAGGCCCATCAGGGTAAATAACCCATTTTCTCAGCTCTCCTGCCCTGAGCATCCCCTTCTACCCACCTTCACACAAATGCATAGGAAAAATCATTTTCTCCACTTCCTCATGAGTAGTTTTTATCCCCAGAGCTGCCCAACAAAATGACTACTCCAACCCAAATTAGGGCTCCTTTGTTCCCTTCATAGCACGGTTAAAGAAGTAGGCTTATCCCAAGTCAAAACCAACAAAACTTAAGTCAAATTTCTAATGAGGCGGGATCACGTGAAGAGAATATTTTTAATTAAGGAAAGAAAGAAGCAAGCGAAATGGTAATTCTGTATTTGAGCCGACCAATGCTTACAGAATAATGAAAATGGTAAGGTTCAAGGCCCAGGACTTTTCAGAAAAGATTAAGACGGTCTGACACGGCCTCTACTCTTGGATCCACCATCACAATTAAGATAAATTTACAGCATGATTGAGACGTTCTCCACCTGCTTAGTATTTCATAGAGAATTCCAAAAATCCCTACAGCTAAGGATGTACAAGGACCGAAGCCAATACATGAGTCCATGAATAGTGGGAGGAAGGTGAAAAGGCATGTTCAAAAGCTAGTGAAGTAATAATCATTATTTCTACTTAGCATTTTTAAAGTCACTTTCACCAAAGGTTCCCAGCATCACAAGGAAGTAGGATGGAAAGAAGTAAAACAAAACAAAAGATGTATTTCTGGACAGGATGAATTCTCTAACCCAGACTACAAGAAGTTTTTAAAACTTTACAGTTTTTCAGTGTGCTAATATTAAAGTTCCTACGAAAAACTGCAATTCAGCATACCCTGAATTGTAAACTTCACTGCAATGATTCAAAAGGGTATCTGAAAATCTTAACTGAGTACCTATGACCCTCACCCCGAGACAAACTTGTAAGGCTATGAGAAAAATGAGAATTTGTTTTTAAACGTGTCATCGGCTTCTCCTTTTACAGACATCCCATAAAAATCTGACAGGCTTACAAAGGAAGGAGAAAAATACAAACACATGCACACCCTCGTAAATAAGTTTTAATAAGCCATTTGACTTACCCTCTAGGCACATTTTAATTTAACTAAATCTTTGGGTCCTAAAAATTACATCTATATAAACCCTCTTGGTGTTAGGATCCACCTTTAATTTCTGTGTGTTAAAAACAGGTTTGGAATGGAGCCAGGGAGATATTTCCACCTTAGGCTTTAGCCCTAGTTCTATGACCTACTTTTTTTTTTTTTATTTTTTAAACATGGTTAAACAGGGGAATGCCAAGACAATTCTCCCTCGGTATTTCCTCTCCTAAGTGTATGAAAGTCATAATCCTGAGTTTAGAGAGAGTTTTGTTTTTTGTTTTCATTTTCTTTTCTTTTTTTTTTTTTTTTAAAGTTAGCTTCCTTTTTAAAATACCCATAACTTCATCTTCCAATAACTTTTGGGCAATGATCCATAAACACCTGTGGGTGCAGAGTGCTTTAAGTGCAAGAGGAAATCAATACAGAGCTTGTAAGTACAAAACTATTATTGGGGATGACAATGACATCCGATTAAATGGACTTGTAAAAATAGCTTATTTTCAATACACCTTTTTTTTTTTTAAACCGGAAAGATACATATTCCAATGAGCAGCCCACTTCAAGGACAAGCTTGCAAAAAATGTGCCTATCACCCTACGAACTTGTCACAGCCTGAGATGTCATTATTCACCCCAACTGGAGGATCATTCTCTGGTATTTTCCTCTAACTATCCAAGGCTATAGTTCACAGCAGAACTTCATGAAGCCTTCTTCTCCCAGATCCAAATATCATTAAGTCCAGATCGCCATAAGGGAAGTGGGAGAAGTGTTTAAGAAAACAAGGCAGAAAGAAATCAAAACTTACTGTGTACTAAGAGCATGGGCACCAACTCTCCCCAGAGAACTGTCTCCCAACGTCAACGAGAAAGCTCAGTCTGGTAAACTCGCTGCCAGCGGGAGCGGGTGTATGGTGCTGGGTTCAGGCAGGTGGAGGCCGAACGGTTGTCATTAAAGTTAATCCACAGGCCTGTCGTCTGACACTGGGTAACGAGCAGGGCGCGGGCGAGCACGGAGACCGGGACGAAGTCATTCTCTCCACTGAGAAAATGACTCGGTTCCTGGAACTCACGACAAGGCAGCTCTCCAGGTCGGTCCGGATTGTCCCCCTGCTGGGTCAAATCCCAGAAGTAAGAGGAGGTTTTTGTATCACTTACCGGCTTCTGGTTTCCTTTTAGACGCCCACACGCGGGACCGAAATCCAAGGGGGCAGAAACCAGAGCCGAGCTCTTTGCAGCCTGGAAATGCACCCAGAGAGCCGCCCAGAAGCCCCGTCCTCACAGCGTGCTC